AAGTATTTTTTCTGTTCTTGGACCTATCGAACGTATAATACCCCCCACACAGAATATTTTAGTGCCTCAAGACCCTCATGACCAAAAATCGTATATTTTTTAGGGATATTTAAAAAAATGTCATGCTTATTTTTATGAGCATAGACTTTTCGTGAAAACAAAAAAGTTTTTCAATTTTCCGACTTTAATCAATTTCTTTCAAGAGCTATTACCAACTATTGTAGATTTGGTAACAAAAATTTGTTGGACATAAAATAGGGAGATTGTCAATTGCTTGACTTTTTGGAAATTCATAATGGTGGACTTTTAAAAAAATATTCAGTTTCTTTTGTGTATATTTATACCCTACACCACAAGGTATCAGGGTATTATGTCTTTGTGCATTTGTTTGTAACAGGCAAAAGGAAACGAGATAGACCCATAGTTCCTTTTGATGATCTGCATAGAATCACATTCTGAGTCGGTTTATGCATGTCCTTCTGTCCGTCCGTCCGTCCGTCCGTCCGTCTGTCCATGTATTTTTGTAAACAAAGTACAGTTCGCATTTATTGCCCTATCCAGATAACATTTTGCACAATTCATTTGTTTGGCCCAAGGACGAACCCTATTGAAATTGGAGATAATCGGTAAAAATTTAGATATAGCTCCGATATATATCTTCGTATTCTTCGTATATCCGATTTGCCTTTTATTGTGCACCAAACGTGTAATATCAGTCCGAATTGTATGGAATTTTGCACGTACGATCAGTTTGGAGCTAAAAATAAGTATGCCAAATTTGATCGAAATCGGTTCAGATATAGCTATAACTCCCATATATATTGTTCATCCGATTTGTTATTTTTGTCATCCGCAGCCGTAATATGCACTCTGTAACAACAATATTTGGGGAAATATGTCAAATACCGCTCAGAAATAAATTTGCTAAATTTTATCGAGATCGGATTGGATTTGAATATATAACATCGTCCGATTTACTTTTTATTGTGTACCAAACAGATCGGTTCAGATATAGCTATAGCTCCCATATATACTGTTCATCCGATTTGTCATATTTGTTACCCACAGCCGTAAAATGCACTCCGTAACAACGATATTCAGGGAAATATATCAAATATAGCTCAGAAATATGTTTGCCAAATTTTATTGAGATCGGTTCAGATTTGGATATAGCTCCCATATATATCTTTATATGATTTCATGTTAATTTCGCACCAAATGGGCAATACAAGTCCGAATTTAAAAGATAAAAATGCTTCGGCATATTTAGTTCTTTGAACTTTAAATTATAATTATAATCATAGAGTGTATGATTGAATTCTCCCATAAAAACTTTTAATTGTTATGCGCATAGCTACTAATTTAGCAAAGTGGTGTAGGGTATCATAAAGTCGGCCCCGCCCGACTTTAAGACTTTTTTTACTGGTTTTTAACATGGAGAAGGAAGCCAGATAGACCCCTTCTTTCCGATGATCTTCATATAATCACATTCTGAGCCGATTTATGCAAGTCCATCCGCCTGTCCAATTATTCTTGTAAACAAAGTACAGGTCGTATATATTGCCTGAACGACATGACATTTTGTACAAATATGCACTCTGTGACAACAATATTCCGGGAAATATATATTAAATACAGCTCAGAAATAACTTTACCAAATTTTAAAATAAAGTGCCCCCCACAAAAACGAGGTCTGATCCGATCTATCAGATACAGCTTAACATGCTAATTCTGCTAATTTTTATAGAGATCGGTTCAGTTTTGGATGACGCTCCCTTGCATATAATCATCTGATTTCACATTTATTGTGCCTAAAAGGGTAATATCAGTTCAAATAGGATGGAATTGGAAGATATATATATAGGTTCAGAAACAAATGCCTCAGTCAACTAAAAACGTTTATATGTTATGGATATGCAAAGTGGAGTAGGGTACCATAATTAAAAGAAAGTTAAAAGAATTTTTTGAAATGTCACTCAAGAGCATTCCAGGTCATTATTCGGGAAATTATTTATTAATTAGACCTTTAAGGATCCCGAACTGTGATTTTTTTTAAAGAATACTCAGTTTTTTTTTTTTTTTTTTTTTTTTTCAATAAAACAATTTTTTCCTTTTGGTCGAAAAAATGATTTTTCTTTCAATTATGCCAAAAACACACTTTTCTCTTATTTTCCCTCACACACCCTTAAAAGGCCCTCCATTCAAAACGCCTCCATAATTCAACGTTGTCCTAACCATTCACTTCCGGTCGTTCGTTCGTTCATACGTATGTTGTACGCCGGCACGTTAAGTAATGAGATATGTAAAGAAAAAGTTAAAATAACATCAGTTGTGTATGGTTTTCTTCTCAGGTTTTGATGGGGTTTCGTCGGTCGCTTGTAGCTGGCAAAATAAAACCCAAAACAAGACAAAAAACAAAAAAGGTTAGGAGTGAATAATGTTTACCATTTGCAGACACCTGTGATACCTTTGCATCCTTGTTGCGGCACGAGGAGGGTGGAAACGAACTAGGTGTAAGTTACACATTAAAACATTAAACCAAATAAAATTGACTGCAAGAAAAATTCTTAATAGCTATAAAGATATCTGCAAGACAGGGGCACTCAACCTTGGGAATAATTAAAGTAAAAATAAATGGGTATTCTGGAGAAGGTGACCTTTAAGATTTTGTTGCAACGGCACCTTTTTTGGTCAAAGGTTATTTCCACAAAGGAACATTGTAGAATATATTATGTTTTAATAATAGGAAATTTTTTGGAAAAATAATATGTTCTATGCTTTTTTAATGAGTTCGGGGAAAGTAAAACAAATTATGGTGGAATCAAAATAAATTTCTGTTTTGAAGACAACACGCCATTATACTAAGACTAAAATATTTAAATAAGATAAAATAAGACAAGGACACCACTTATAGACTCTTTATATAGGGGCTATACAAAAGTGAGAGCTCATACTATAATTTTCTGCACGGAAATTTCTTACCCATGACAGCCCAAAATTGGAGAAAAAACTAAATTGATAGAAAATGTGTTTGAGCTTAAGATATTTTTGTATTGAAAGCTCGATTTTTTTACTAGGCCCCACAACATAAGCAAAAGGTTGTTCACATCTGACTTTTTTGGTCAACCATCTCATTGAAAGATGTATAGATCAGTTGCCTTATTTCCTTCGGTATCGGTATCGTTGTTGATGTTTTTTTCTTTCTTTTCTCGACTTGAAACTTTGCCCTGTTATTCCAGACGGACTTCATCCACACCATTTAAAGGTTAAAACTTTTCCATTTGGTAGGTTTATACTTTGAATATACAGGTTATTGCTCGGATGCGTATTAAAAACAGAAGCAGTTCGTAATATTGTTCTTAAGGTTAAATAGCTGTTGTTGGCTATAAACGCAGTGGTCATGTAAAATCAATGAGCGAATGAAAGAATAAAGAACTGAAATTAAAACAAACTTTGCAGACGTTGCGTTTAAAGCCCCACAATAAGTGGGAAGGAACTATTATTGGTGGATTTAATTTACGGATATCTTTAATACGAGTATTGCGAAGATCGCTTTATGAAGACGTGGACCTGCATACAAAAAATTTTGTCATAGGCTGTAGTACCCACTGTGAAATATGAAATTTGAAGTATATTCGGTAAATACTGTCGCTAAAATCAAGAAAATACCGAATATCGGGAGGTACCGTCATATGGGGCTATACGAAAACGTGGACCGACATGGCCCATTTACGAACTTAACCTGCCAACTGGTAAACTATGCTTGTATGCAAAATTTTAACCTTCTATCTAATCTTTCGAAAGATAGCACAATTACAACAGACAGACGCACATCGCTAGATCGTATTTAACGCTGATCCAGAATTTATATACTTTGTAAGGTCTGTTATAAATATTTCGAGGAGTTAAAACGGAATGATAAAGTTAATATACACTCCAAAGTATGGTGGAGGGTATAAAAATATTTATTAGAGAAATATACCGGACCGATTTACACCAAATGGAAAAAAATTCGGTTGAATATTAAAAAAGTTGGCCTGATATTACATATATGGTGGACAATAACCGTACAATCGGTTGATATATAAAAATCTGATCAGATCTCGATAAAATTTGGCAGAGCTATTTTCGGGATGTTTCTAATGCCTGGTATAAAATATCCTTATTGTGGGGTGCATTTTTCACATGTGAGGGATTTAAACCCACAAATTGGATGAAACGTATATATGGGAACTATAGCTATATCTGAACCGATTTTCACCAAATTTTATGTGCTTGCTTCTAGACTTAATTCCGAGAGAAGTGCCAAAATTCAGTCCTTTTGAAATCGGATAGAGATGTATGTGCGAGCTACATCCAAATCTGAACTGATCTTGATAAAATTTTAGGCACTTATTTCTGAGCTGTATCTGATATCTGGTACCAAAAATCATTGTTGAGGAGTGCATAATACACATGTGAGGGCTTACAACCCCAAATCGGATGGAAAATATATATGGGAGTTATAGTTGTATCTGAACCGATTTTTAAATTCGATGCACTTGTATATATTTTATTCACGAAAATACATGGACAGACCGACGGACGGACTGACATGCATAAATCGACTCAAAAGATAATTCTATTAAGATCCACAAAAGTAACTATGGGTCTATCTCGCTTCCTTCTTCTTGATACAAACAAATGCACAAAGACGTAATACCAATATGTGGTGTAGGTTAAAAAAATGAGAACATATGTGACCCATTTTGAATACCAAAATTCTACGGACCTACAATCTACCTACTTAATTCATTTTAGAAGCTACAACGATTTCCACAGACGGACGGAAACACAAAAGGGCACACTAAACCGAAATAGAATTGTATGCTTATGAGGTCCAAAAATGTTATTTTGAGAATTTACAATTACAATTCACGTAAATTCCGAATTTTAAAATTCGATATACTTTCTGAATGCACCTGATATTTTTTTTTTCTTCATCCCTAATAAACTGAAAATTATATTAACGCTTAGTTATCAATGTATTTGTCACATTTTATTATAAAAATTTTTCTTAATTCAAGAACATTATACCGCAGGTCCCCAGGATATAACTTCAAAGGCAACTGGTTTCAATGCCTGGACATCGATGCTATGGGAACTCAACAACTTAACTATTTGCTGTATATTTGCAGATTTCTGTAAATGAAAAAAAAAAAATGCATTTCAAATTTGTATTTCGCATCAAAGGCGTTTTTAAGTCTGCGACTTACCAATGCTTCTTCGACCAGCGGTTTGAATTCCGCACTTCGCAGAGCCTTGTAGAAATTTGCAAAATTTGCATTTTTCATGTATTTATCCATAATCATATGCTGATATGCTGGTCGTGGCAACTCTCTTATTATTTCCTCAACGAAGCTTGTAAATGAGCCCAAAGGATGCTGCTGATAACGATGTTGTTGATGATGACCGCTGGCCATGGTGCCCTGTGCGCTGCCATCGACAGTGTTCAACTGGTCATCGTTTGCCCTCAGTGTATTAAGCTTAGAGTCCAAAAGCACAATGTCCACTAATGGTTGTTGCTCCGCTGAGGCTAGAACAGCATTGCCACCGCCGTTGCTGCTGCTGACATCGTCAGTATACTCCAATGCATCTAATTGTGGTCTTTTGTATGCGAGAACTTTTCTGATCCTGGCATGCATCGCAGCCTTTGGACTAGTGGCCGGCACGTTGTCAGTGGTGCCGGTGGTGGTGGTCACTGTATTAGTGGGCATTCTGTCCATTCCATTATCATTAAGCGTTGATGATGATGCTGCTGTTGCCATTTCATCATCCTGCAACGCTGATGTTTCTGGCATTTGCTTCGTCGCTTCCTTCGTTGCACAGTCCATTATCATTGTTGCATTAATGGTCAGATGCAGAAAATCCAATACGGAGATAATTTCGGGTACATCGAGTAACTGTTTTTGCAAGCGTGTGAAATCATTACTTCGCAAGTATTTTAGGGCCGTGCGAAACCCGCCGTCGATCACATAGTGTTTGGCCACAATTGCATCCACTATTGCAGGAGGTATTAAGTGTTCGAAATCCTTCAGTTCATTTATAATTTCGGGTGAAATAGTAGCGGATTTTAAATTGCAATCACTGGCGGTTGTTGGGGGAGGTGGGGCTACAGTAACTGGGTCATATGAATAGACCAGGGCGACGAATAGAAGTGTCGATGATAATAGAATTTTTAAATGCGCTGCCATTATGTTTTTTTTTTTTTTTTGCTTTCTGTTTTTGTGTTGTTTCTATTTTGTATTGTTCTTTATCACAGCAGTACAGCTGCTACGTCTAGGCCGCTGATGCGTCTTCAGCGAACGCTTGTTTGAAACTAATTTTAAATTAACGACATGTGGTTTCATTGAAAACTATAAAAAAAATGCAAAGAAGACGGAAACAAGAAGAATCGAGTCTCTCTTTCTCTTTTTCTCTTTAAAGAAAAAAAAAAAAACTATAAACAAGTAAGCAAAGGCTATGGTCGTGCGGGGCCGACCACGTGATACCGTACAACACCACAATATGTTAAAAGCCCCTTATGTCCAAATACAATTTGAAAGATTTCGCTTTTGAAATCATGTCACGGAGAAATGCCCAGATATTACCCTTAGCATTTTGACCAGGGACATTTGCCTGATATTTACGCACTCCGTAGTGCTGTTAGTTGTTGTGGTCCATTTTACAGCTAAATATAATACAATGGCTATCCATTTTGGTTCATTTGAACCCCTACATATTTGGCGATCATCTGCAAAAGCAAGAGGCTCCAAATTTAGTCTCATCTATATGATTTGCTTCTCTACGATATTTGGCTATATTCGTCAACGAAATCAGCGTAAAAAGCCAGAAGTTCGCCTTTTGTGTATTTTTGAATTCGCATGCAAGTTATTTCCAGAGTTTCGGTAGAATGGAAATGTTTGTATTTTTTTCACGCAAAAGTAGTGGTCCATACTACCATACTAAACTCTAATTTCATGCCAGATTTCGTGTTATCTGGTTTCTATTTGTGACCTTTATAACGTCTGTAAAATCAGGAAAATTTTTAGTTGTTGGTCCATTTCAACCCCTAAATATATTGCGGACACCTTTGAAAACAATAGACCTAGACCCTAACCTTGTTAAATTTTTCGTGAGGATCGAACGATTATTGCAATTTGTATTAAAAACCCTGTGTTGTAAGGTGAAAAAAATATTTCAAAATATACATTTCAATATTATAAGTCAAATTGAAAAAATCGCATGCGATAAAAAATATGAAAAAATAAAAAAATGTCACAAAATACTACAAAATCGATATTAACATCATTATTGGCATATTTTTCTGCGATTTTTTTAGGTTTTTATACTTTTATGTCAAGCGGACATTCGGAATTGACAAAATTTGTCAAAATAGTTCCAGCCATTTTTGAGATATAAGCATTCTAACTAACATTCCCTTCCTTTCTACATACACATTGTATATATTTCGCTATATATCCGATATATTTACTATCGGCATCTACGCAATGGTCAGTATTGACCTATTCGTCTATTTGTGATTTCTCCGGGATTAAAAATATTCGCAGTTTAATGGAAAATTTGACTTTTATTTAACACAAATGTTGTGGCCTCTTTCACCCACTAAATATTACCCGATGACCTTCAAAATTGGAAGGCTTCTGCCCAGACCTAAGTTCTAGCCCCATGCTAACTTCCTTTGATTGGTCTATAATTGCGACCTGTAGAGCAACCACAAAATCAGAATTTTTTCAGTTTTTGGTCCATTTCAACCCCTAAATATTACGCGATAATCTCCAAAAGAAATAGGGTTCTATTCCGACCCTATCCCCACCTTCATTCTAAATTTCGTGAAGATCGGGCCATAATTGCGACTTGTAGAGTGATTACAAATTAACATGGACAGACGGACGGACGGACATACGTAGCTAGATCGACTCAGCTCGGCGAGTTAGGAAGATCCATATATACTTTCCTATGTGGGAAACCAATATTTCGAGGTGTTACATAATTTTTGGCCCAATCAAACTTATAATACCCCCAACACATAGTGTTGTAGGGTATAAAAATGCGAAGCAGATGGCAACAAGAAGAATCGAGAGAATGAGAGACTCCCGTCTGCTTTGCATTTGTTATAGGTTTTTATACCCTAAATCACAAGGTGGCCAGCGTATTATGTTTTTGTGCATTTGTTTGTAACAGGCAAAAGAAAGCAAGTTTCTTTTGATGATATACATAGGATCACATTCTGAGTCGATTTATGCATGTCGGTCCGTCCGTCCATCTGTCCATGTATTTTTTGGTAAACAAAGCACAGGTCGCATTTATTGCCGATATAGATGAAATTTTCCACAAATCATTTGTGTGACCCAAGGACGAACACTATTGAAAATAATCGGTCAAAATTTTGATATAGCTCTCATATATACCTTCGTCCGATTTGCATTTTATTGTGCACCAAACGTGTCATATCAGCCAAAATAGTATGGACTTCTGCACATACGACAAACTAAGGACTGGAAATAAGTATGCCAAATTTGATCGAAACCGGTTCAGATATAGCCATAACTACCATATATATTATTCATCCCATTTTTGTATAATTTTCATCCGATTGGTTATATTTGTCCTCCGCAGCCGTAATATGCACTCTGTAACAAGGTTGTTTGGGGAAAAGGTATATCACATACATCTCAGAAATATCTTTGCAAAATTTTATCGAGATCGGTGCAGATTTGGATATAGCTCCCATATTTATCTTTATATGATTTCAAGTTAATTGAGCACCAAATGGGTAATAAAAACCCGAATTGAAAACGCACAGATCCCTCGGCAAATTTACTAGAAATCGATTCAGAGGAGGATATTCTCCTCATATACTAGTTTCTTTTGACTTTAAATTATAACTATAATCATAAATTTGCGTTCATTCGAATTCGAATGTTGCTCTGCGGTATTTTACCCCATTCCCGGCGAAACGCTTGCTTGAGGTGATCGACACTTTGGTATTTTGTAGTGCCAACCTTGCTTACCAAAATACTCCAGCGAGGAACCTCATTTTGTAACCATTCTTGGGTTACAAAAGAACCCAATGGCGATGGTGCTGAGTCCTGCTGGAATATCCAAGGTCTGCGGCCTCCAGAATATTTTTGCCATAATATTCGGCATTTATTCTTATGCCACGGTCAATTAATATGAGCGGAGAGCGGCTGTCGGCTGTTATGGCGGCCCACAACATCACCATGGCCGGCGCATGAGTTCTGGTGGCCAACCGAAGTGCACATTTTCAGCTGACCTCTTTGGCAAGTAAACACGACCATTTTGTTTGTTTACAAATTGATGGACAACGAATGTTTTCTCATCGCAGAAAACCAATTTCGGCAGTTCACCACTTTCAGCCAAGGGAAGAAACCCTTTTGCTCTCTTGAGTCTATTTTCTTTCTGTTGTGATGTAAGTTCTTACACTTTTTGGAATTTCAATGGCTTACCCTAGCTCAGTTTTCAATATTTACCGAATGAAATATTGCGATATGTTCAGCTCACGAGCCATTTTTCGGCCACTGCGACGCGGTTTCCGTTCAAGTCGCTTCTTTACTTTTCGAACCATTTCTGCTGATGTTGCTGTTTTCTTCCGTCAACTTCCTTGACTTCGGGCTACGCTACCAGTTTCACGGCAACGAGCGATGGTACGAGACGCAAAAGATTTATTCACATTTAAATGCTGGAATGCTCTAACAATAGCCACTTGTGGTTTTCCAGACAAATATAAAGAAATCTAAATATCACTCTTGAATTCCATCACAAATAACTTATATACTGGAAAATTCTCACTAAACAATATAATGAGCTGTCACTGGAATAATTTTAACAGCTGTAGGACGAGTGGCTTAGAAATGGCAGCAGTCTGAAGTTGGTTGCAGTTTTTTCATCTCACCCTTTAGTTGGTATAATTTTATTGTCACAAAATCCCCATAAAGTTAAACTAAATAGCGAAATGGTGTAGGGTATCATAAAGTCGGCCTCGCCCGACTTTAAGACTTCTTTACTGTTTTTATTTTTTTGCTTTTTTTCTGATAAAATTAATTTCAGGATATCAGATATCCATTCAAAACCGCTTATCAATGCATTTTGCTTATTTTTCTCCGACGAATTTTGTTGGTGTGAATTTCAATATTTAAAGAGAATTTCTCTTTGTAATACCAGGGTTATACTCTCATTATATTTATTTCTTATCGCACATTTGCTTTGCTTGCCGCTTTGATTTAGTTTTCTTTGTTTCTCACGAAAACACATTTCGGTTTTGTTTACATTTTAGAATAGAATGTCAAATCAGATTAACAGATGCAAGTATATATGTAAATTAAAACAATAATAGAACATACCCTACAAAACAACGCGGTACAGTGGTTATTACGTATTTACATTACATTAAGAAAGAAATGAGATAGACCCGTACTTACTTTACATGATTTATGATGGGACTTTGACGACTGTTTTTACGTGATTTTTATACCCTACACCACAAGGTGTAGGGTATAAACTTCAAATACGAAATTTGAAATAATTCCGGTAAATAATGTCGCTAAAATCATGAAAGTACTGAATATCGGGAGGTAGCAATCTATGAGGTTTACATGAAGACGTGGACCTGCATACGAAATTTTAGGCATAAGCTGTAGTACATATTAAAATTGTCGAATGCGAAATTTAAAACAATTCGGGTGAATGATGCCGCTAAAATCATCAAATTACCGAATATCGGGAGGTACCATTATATGGCGGCGTAGACGTTGACCTGTATTCGAAATAAGGCTGTAGTACCCATTACAAAATTCGAAAAGATTGGGGTTACTAATGTTGCTATAATCATCAAAAAACTGAATCGGGAAGTACTTTTATATGGGGGCTATACGAAACAGACAAGGTCGGAATTTAACCTGCCTAATGGCAAAATACACCACATGTGTACAAAATTTTAACCTTCTATATAAATTCGTTCGAAAGATGGAGTGATTACAACAGACAGGCGGACATCGCTAAATCGTCTTAGAATTTTACGCTGATCCGAAATATATATACTTTTAGGATCTATCATGAATATTTCGAGGAGTTGCGAACGGAATGACAAAGCTAATACACCCTCCGTAGAATGATGGGGGGTCTAAAAAACATTTTAAGAATATATTTATTCGATTTTTTTAGATTTTATTCCTTTATGCTCAAAGCCTATTCTGAATTGGTGAGAAATGTCAAAGTCCCTCCAGCCGTTCTTAGGTCATAAGCGGTCTAACTAACATCGCCTTCTTTGATATAAGATATTGTATATATTTTGCTATATATGCGATAT